TTTGAAAGCTGTTCAATAGATATATGTTTAATTGAGCTTCATTGTGAAGCACTGCAAGCGACAAAAATGGTGAAATGGAATCTTTCGGAATCTTTTGAGCGCGACGTCTTCTCATATACTTTTTGGCTGTGGCATATGCTTTTATTTGAGGCATTGTACTTTTTACCGTTGATATATTGATTATGACGATCTAATAACTGATAAATGCTGAAGTTTATTCGGAATCGTTCGAACACATGATATATTTTTCAGGGCGTTATACTTTTGCTTGCTGATATAACACATTAATCTAATTATTGGGAGTACAAATAAGTTTCCACCGTTTGCAAAAGACGACGCCATTAATAAACTATAATTAAAATTGTTTGATGTAAAAATATCGTAAGATTCCAATATCATAATCTTGAAATATTAGCGATTTTGTATCAGCATCATATATTTTTTTTTGCACGAAAATGTCGAGTTTTGAGCCGAATAAGCGTCATTTGCGGGAATTTTTGATTTATTTCTTTAATTTGAAGAAATCTGCAGCTGAAGCTCATAGAATGCTTGTAGAAGCATTGTATGATGATGCTGCCTTAAGTGAGAGAAGATGTCGTGAGTGGTTTCAAAAGTTTAAGAATGATGAATTTGACGTCGAAGACAAAGACCGTAGCGGAAGGCCAAAAGTGTACGAAGACGCGGAATTGGAAGCATTATTGGATGAAGATTCGTACCAAAATCTAAAAGAACTTGCACTTACATTAGAAGTGACTCAACAATTTCATATCGTTTGAAATCATTGGGAATGATTCAAAAGTAAGGGAATTGGGTTCCATATGAACTGAAGTCGAGAAACGTTGAACGCCGATTTTTCACATGTGAAATGTTGCTTGCATAAACGAAAGGGTTTTTTGCATCGTATAATCACTGGTGATGAAAAATGGATCCACTACGATAACCCAAAGAAGAGGAAATCATGGGGATCATGGCCATGCTTCAACATCGACAGCCAAGCTGAATATTCATAGAAAAAAACTCATGTTGTGTATTTGGTGGGATCAGCTTGACGTCGTGTATTATGAGTTGCTCAAACCGAACGAGACCATTACTGGGGTTCTCTACCGAACACAATTGATGAGATTGAGCCGAGCACTCAAGGAAAAACGCGCCCACTACTACTCCAGGCATGACAAAATTATTCTCCTGCATGATAATTCTTGACCACATGTTGCGGCGCCGGTCAAAACTTACTTAGAAACACTCAAATGGGAAGTTCTACCCCATCCGCCGTATTCTCCAGATATTGCTCCTTCCGACTATCACTTGTTCCGATCGATGACGCATGGCCTGTCTGAGCACTTCACGTCATATGAAGATACCAAAAATTGTATCGATGATTGAATAGCCTCAAAAGATGAAGCGTTCTTCTGACACGGTATCCACATGCTACCAGAAAGATGGAAAAAAGTACATTAAGGCTAGCGACGGCCATTACTTTGAATTAAACATTATGTACCGTTCTTTCACAATAAATGCTTAATTTTTGATAAAAAACGATGGAAACTTATTTGTACTTCCAATACATTTACTTTTTATTTTTGAGAAGAAAAAAAATTAATATATAGTACTAATCTTCTATTTTAAATAAAAGGAACAGTTTCAAGACGTTACTCTGCGTGGATGCGATCCACGCGGAGTAACGTCTTGAAACTGTTACTCCGCGACATGCCTCACTATAACTAAACATATTAATTTCAAATTATATTTTTTCTTTTTCCAAACATAGCACAGGAGATGTAATCACTCGATTAAATGGGGTATTTGATGTTCTCCTGGCATCAGTTCAAAAAACGGAGGAGGACGCCAAGAAAATTAATGCAGGATGCAACAATGCAGAAAACGGAGGAGGGATGATGATGATGATGATGATGATGATGATAATGATCCAGATGATGACATCACGTTTATAATGAAGGAGCGACGAAAAAAATATTAAATAATTAAATAATTATAAAAAATATTTTAATAAGTAATTATAAAAAAATTTTTAATAAATAATTATGAAAAATTATACATATTCATATATTCACTGTTATTTATTCCCTCTACTATCCCTTCTTTCAACCTCAGCGATATTAGATTATAGCACGTGTCGGTAGAGTCCAATAATACTATCGCGTTGGACTCTTTAGGGGAGGCTAGGATTAAAAGTAACATTTTTTTGTTTTTATAAGTTAAAAAGAAGTCTATATTTGCCATAGATTTTCAATTTATCTACATAAATAAGGAGATTCAAAATTAGTTTTACAGTAATAGAAGGCCGTTAATCCAATTTCTAAAAATGTTGCGACCATTTTAAAAGATCGAGGTGCGTTGATACTTTTTATCCCTTAGAGTTAAAAGTAACAACGTTAGGGCAAGTTGTAATCTATATTAATATGAATTAAATAGTAAGCGAAATGAAAATAGAAAAATTAATGAAATTATTTTTAATTACTTATTATAGTTTTTAATTACATATTAAATGATTAACAACTATATACACATATATAATACACATCTTTCACTGGCTTAACATATTATTATTTTTTATTATACAATAAGAACATATTATTATTATACAACATGAACAAACATAAATTATCTTCTTTAATTAACACAATATAATATTATTATAATAATCAACAAACATAAATTATTTCCTTTAATTAATACAATATAGTATTATTATATTAAACAAAATAGGATTTTTTTCCTTATGAGGAGCACAACATAACAGTTTGTCTTAATGTACGTGATACATCCCGCCGTTGCCGCCGCGGACTCCGCATCCAAATGCGTTGTGAACCACCGCCATCACCGCCGCCGCCGCTGCTACCACAGTCGCCGCTGCCGCCGTTGCCGCTGCCGCAGCCGCGGATCCCATGTCCACCCCAAAATGCGTCGCGGCACTATAACACAAACAAGATGTTTAAGATGTTTAAGAAAAAAGAAAAAAATATGTATATATAAAATATTCTTACCTTCTCCACACCTTCCATCTCACTCTCCTCCGCTGAATTGTTATTCCTTCTCCTTCTCCTGCCCGATTATCAGGGCGCTAAGGAGATAGATAAAATTAAGTTTAAAATTTATTATTTCAAATAATTCTCCTTCAAATGATATCTCCTCCGCAGATTCCAGAGGGGGAAAAGAAAAAGGATCCTCTAGATTCTCCAGGATGTTCTCCTCTTCGACCTCTTCTTCTTCCTCCACTTCCTCTTCCTCTTCTTCTTTTTCCATCGCCTCATTGAAATTGAGGTGATTAAATGCAATTCTATTTACGCACTATTTATGCACTTGTGTGAGGTCACCCGATTTCATCGACAATCTCGATGATGCGATGGAATAAGTCTAATTGGTTAATGTGTAACTGATTTACATCGATAATAACTGTATCACTTTAAATCTGGACCGAGGAGGAGGCAGTCTCCTCAACTTTTTGATTTTTATTGCCCATATTTATTTAGGTAAAATAATAGTTGCAATGTAAAAAAATTATCACTTCACTTGATCACAGAAATGTGCAAAAGTATTCTACCATTTAGCGTTAATGGTAGAATATTTTTGCACGTTGAGGAAAAAAATCACTCACGTTTGTAATACGTCTCGCGCGCGGACAAAGCAGGACAAAGATTAACATTGAGAATCAACGTTTGCCGCAGCGAGCCTAGGATTTATCTTTAGATCGGCAGTCGTATATAAAACAATTCAGATCACAAGTGCCGTCACGAGAAAAGTATCGTTGCAACTCTTTATAATAATAGCCTAATATATAGTAGCCGCGATTATTTGCGGCCATCGAATTGTTGAAAGATCACGCTGCATGTTTATTTTCACATCTGTAATTCTTTTTTTCTTACGCGGAAAGGTCCATACATATATACATACATACATACACATATATATATATGTGTATATATATATATATATATATATATATACATATATACGTACGTATATACATATATACATACATACATACATACATGCGTATATACGTACATTCGTGATACGATAAAAAAAAGCATTGACTATTGTTTATCTAAACAGAGTACGATGACGCGTCGAGGATAAGATGAATGGACGGATAGATGGACGAATGGATGGGAAGTAAAGAAAGTATAGTACATATATAGTGATGTGAATGAAAAAATTTTTTATTCACATGTTATTATATCATTTCTTTTTTTTGTACGTATTAAAAACTAAAGCCAATAGCTTGCAATCGACGAGCTGATGTCCATTAAAGATGTTGCTATCACGTGTCTTCGGACGCGATGTTGGAGAATCGCATATATTGTATTTGACATCGACCGTATCAACGAATCGATATGGTCTATGATATGGTTTAATCGTTACATCGATACATCCGACAAACTCAAACATATGTCGTAACATCGTTTCGATCATCATAATGCGTACGGATGAAGAATCGAGACGTACGAGCACCGTTCAGCATGCAAACACTGACGGTTAGCTAATCTAACGCTTATAAAATTGTTCTTGTATTTATTTCGCAGCATCTTGTAAATATTCCATCGCTGTTCGTAGAGGTCACGTTTCGAAAGATAGCGACAGTTCATGTCCGATGATCTCCCAGGACGCTCCCTATGTAACTCGATGAACCAGCGTTGATTCCAATTTCCAAATATTTGTAGCGTAATCGTCAGATCGTCTGCTCAGAAACGCGCGATGCTCCATGCTGTGTACATACAATTAAAAAACGTTTCTTTTGTGTGTAACGTTGAAAGTTACATGTTACTGCAATCCTTCTTCGTTTCATACGATGCGTTGCTGTCTTTAGCGAAGTATATTTTTCAATCATTCGTACAAGCGAGTATTGCAAAACTGATTGCATCCGCGTAAATTGTGACGTATATGGTAACATTTCTAAAATCGAAGAAGGGGTAATCTCCCTTCTTTCCAATTATGAACATGTCGTGACATTTTTATCGCGTTTTTTCTATATATTTTCTTTGTTCGAGTTCAATCAATGTTTATACTTTATGATTTATATTTCGATGGCATTGATAATGAGCACGTTGGTGACTTTGATGCTTTTTCTCTAGGACATTCTCAATATCTCGTTTTTTCTTTCGATGGCGGTGGACTTGACGGACTTGGCGACAAGGTACTCCTTTTGCTCGATCGATTTTCGATATATATATTCTTTTACTCGATTCATGTCTTAACACTCGTAACTGAAGCTTACGATTGAAAGAAAAAAGTCTTATACACTACCTATATAAGTCTTATATACTACATTGCATATATGTACTATCAGAACATGTCACGACGCGTTTAACAGAAGCGATTAACAGATCTTGTCAAAAATTTCCATGACACGGGACTCGTAAAAATGTAATGTATGAGAATAGTCTCTTGTTTCAGCATTGCCACTTCCTTCACGATAAATTTCTTGTTAACAATGAATTCTTGCAGATCCGAACGTTGGCACGAGCATATTGTTGAGAAAACTGCGATCGATTGCGATCGAATGCGACGTATCGTAGATTTTATACCGTGTCAGAGGTACATTTAGGTGATAAGGTAATTTTGCGCACAAACGTTGGTCAATGGATTATATGAACTACGCGATCGTATATGATGAAACAATAGGCTGTTGTATTTGCGGGCACGTTCTCCTTACATTCAAAGTCTAATCGCACATCCACAATGCCACTCTTGACCGATTCGTTCTGTCGAGAGACAGAATCGTCCGCTCTTCAAAGCGCGTAGCATCGACAGCTTATTTATCTCGCTCAATAACACGTGTGGTATTCGCCACTGTACTTTGAATAATTCGAGCGTTGGCTCTGTCGCCGGATCTCTGTCTCCTATCAGATAATTGTTGTCGTTACGTGCTCGTATTAAAATCAACTCATGAGCATTGATCACCACGCGTTTGTAATCTTCGCACAATCCCAGCAGTACATAGAGCGGTACACAGAAATTAAAGTATCCGGCCGCAGCAGTCTGCGCATCCGCCGGTATTTCGCAGAATCACGTTTCTGTCGGATGACATTGTTACATAGTTTTGGAGCGTGCTAATTATGTTATCTCATATTGAATCTTATCGAATATGAATTATTTCCCGCGCGACGCAATTATTTCCCAATATCATGTGAGCACTCTGGATCACTTTGTTCTTCATCAGTTTTCCTTCGACGTACGAAAGTTTTCGTACGGCAGTGTGTACAGATCTTTGCTGTATTCTTATTTCGTCGCTGTACTCGAACGTTGTGTTGATGAACGGGCTGTACGTGTGAGTTTCAATCTTGATGATGCGTCGAAGATCGACTCGTTTTTAATGTTTAGAATATCAATTATCTCAAATGTTGCGCATCGCGAATCTCAAAGATTTTAAAAATGTAACGTTTGACGCGCTAAGGTTCTTTTTCTGTCTGATACAGCTGGATGAGCAGGTGTCATCGAATTGTGACGACACTGGCTTTGTAAAGAATGCGTTATCTCTCTGCGTACGCTCCGTTCCGTTCAGCACGAGCATCTCACGCTCACGTTCACTGTCGCCGTCGTACGCTATCTAACAGTGATCTCTTCTCGAGCAATCGTCCATTCTAGTCGACGATGCGTATCGTTAAATCCATAATGCTCCGTGCGATAATCGGCAGATAAATGATCTGCGCCGACCTCTCCGATATCTTATATTTTGGAGGCACTCTCGGTGAAAATTCGTGTATTCGTATGCGCGTTTTTACCGTTGCTGTATGCAACCGCAGTCACGTTACCGCGGATAATGTTTACATTCATTATGATCGACATGTCTGATTCGTGTCACCTTCGCGATCACAGTATACGCTTCGACGAGATGCTGTGATATCTTAGTATTAGTCGAATGCTTTTTCCGTCATGTCGTTGACGCTTACGCTGAGAGGGAAGACCGTCCTCGCGGCGAATTATTTTCCCGCCATAAATATTTGAGTGACGGAGATTACAAGCTCGATCTGACAATTTTTGAAACTTATCATACAATACCGAACGTGAACGAATCGAACAACAAATTTTATTTCACCAAAAACGATGCGGAAATTACAATTTTAGAGAGTTCATATGAAGTGCGAGACAATGAATTTTTGAACGAAAATGAATTTTTTAAACGCACGATTTTACGGAAACGTCCACACGCACTTGAAACTGACGTAGTCAGTTGGACAATAATAACAATAACAATAACAACAACAACAATGACCTTGATGACGATAATGATGAGGGTGGAGAATATCATTACGCAAACTACGACACGATGAGATGCGAGATTAAATGTGAATACAAAATAAACTTTGGCAAGCCCAACAGCATTAGATCGTTACTAATAGATAGGTCATAGGATTAATTTTCTGTACTTTGAGTACTACGATTCTAAACACCTCCGTGGTCCAATTTGAGGCGTGGTTCAATTTGGATCCAATTTGGAGTCCAATTTTGGGCTTGTAACTTTTCTCAAAGATGTCTTAAATTTGCTCACACGTACCGAGTCACCCACTTTGAATCGCGGGAGTGCGATGGCCTTTACGCTACTGTACGCTACACCGTGTTTAAGAGTTTGTCAGCAATCGTGAGAGTTATATCGATGGGCCGATAGTTCGATGCTTTCACGCGTTGTATTTAGACACGAGACGCGGTAGCAAGTCAATCCATTTATAATTTCCATTATGCGTAAATTGTTTCCATATATTAACATACGATTGAACCGTTCAACAACAAATGCCTTCATTATGGAATATATTGAATAATGATTTATGTTGTGTTTTTTCAGGAGTTTTGCACGTTTGCGTTGTAAAAGTTTTTTCCCATATCGATTGCAAATTTTTCGTTTTCCAACATCTTCCAACGTCTCGAATTATCTTTGCGATTGCAGTCTCCTTACTACTCTTGGTTTTCAGCGGTACGGCCATGCATGCTTACTCAACACATCGATAAGTGAGAATGTAGTGATAATCTTTGTTGGATCGTGTGTAAGGGCGCATCTCGACATCAGCCTGCCACAAGTATCCTATGAAGGCAATAAGTTCTTAGAAAATGTCAGAGGGCACTCGCAGTGTTATGTCACATTATTTTTTGTCAAATAGCATCTTTCAATTGATTACTGTCAAATTTTGAGCGGAATTCATTGCGTGGTTTCATTTCTGTAGACGATTAAAGCGAACAACCTTTGTATTTTTTACAAAATGGAAAAAAACGAGTTTCGTGCAATGATCAAACATCTACATGAAAGATACAATACATATTTAAGGCCGAAAGAAATCAAAGCCGAGTTGGATAATATTCACAGCACATTTACACCAGCGTTTATGACTGTATACAATTGAGTGAATTTAAACGTGATCGTACATCCACATGTGATGCACCTCGTTCAGGACGTCCAATTGAGGCTGCTACGCCAGAAATCAATAAAATCCACAATATTATTTTGACTGATCGACGAATAAAAGTGCGCGAGCTTGTTGAGGCCATAGACATATCACATGGCATAGTGATTTCAATTTGCACAAACAATTGAGTATGAAAAAGCTATTGGCAAGATGAGTGCCGCGTTTGCTCACTGTGGATCATAAACGCGACGATTTCAAAACAATGTTTGGAGATGTTTCAACGTAATCCAGATGAATTTCTGCG